ATTTTTAGTTTATATTTTTTGCATTTTCCTTTTTTGTTTTTATTGCTCCTAAGTTTAGAAAGATACTTCTTCCCAGCACTTGATGGGAACACAGCACTCAGTGCATAGGGAATATGAATTAGTAACTTTTCAGGAGAGCAATTTATCAGTGTGTATTATGAAGCCTAAAGAGATGATTTGTCTTTCTTGCAATTATTCTAAAGAAATAATCAGAGTTACAGTGATTTATGTAATTAATGTTCATCACAGCATGCTTTATACAGCAAAAAATTGGAAACAGTCTGACAGTTGGAGATGTTACATATAATGCTATAGCCAAATGAGAGAATTACTAATTTTGAAAAATGTTAATGATGTGATATTAAACAGAATAGTATTTAAAAGAATATAAACTACAATCCTAAATTCCTTAGATTAATTCAGGCAAAGAAAGACAAATATCATGTGTCACTTATATATGGAATCTAAAAAGTAATACCAAAAAACCACCCAGAAATTTGTCTCACAATTCTGAAGACTAGAGGTCTAAAATCAAGGTGTCAGCAGGGTTATCTCCTTCTGACATCTATGAGAGAAACATCTGTTCCAGACTTCCTTCTTGGCTTGTAAATGGGCATCTTCTCCTTATGTCGCTTCATATCCTCTTCTCCCTCCCCATATCTGGTTCCAAATTTCTCCTTTTTACTTAGAATATCAATCCTTTTGGGTTAGTTCAGTTCAGTCGCTCAGTCGTGTCCAACTCTTTGCGACTCCATGAACTGCGCACGCCAGGCCTCCCTGTCCATCACCAACTCCTGGAATCCACCCAAACCCATGTCCATTGAGTCAGTGATGCCATCCACCCATCTCATCCTCTGTCATCCCCTTCTCCTCCTGCCCTCAATCTTTCCTAGCATCAGGGTCTTTTCAAATGAGTCACTCTTCGTGGCCAAAGTATTGAAGTTTCAGCTTCAACATCAGTCCTACCAGTGAACACCCAGGACTGATCTCCTTTAGGATGGATTGGTTGGATCTTCTTATAGTCCACGGGACTCTTTAAGAGTCTTCTCCAACACCACAGTTCAAAAGCATCAATTCTTCAACATTTACCTTTCTTTACAGTCCAACTCACATCCATACATGACCACTGGAAAAATCATAGCCTTGACTAGATGGACCTTTGTTGACAGCGTAATGTCTCTGCTTTTTAATATGCTGTCTAGGTTGGTCATAACTTTCCTTCCAAGGAGTAAGCGTCTTTTAATTTCATGGCTGCAGTTACTGTCTGCAGTGATTTTGGAGCCCAGAAAAATAAAGTCAGCCACTGTTTCCCCATCTATTTGCCATGAAGTGATGGGACCAGATGCCATGATCTTTGTTTTCTGAATGTTGAGCCTTAAGCCAACTTTTTCACTCTCCTGTTTCACCTTCATCAAGAGGCTCTTTAGTTCTTCTTCACTTTCCACCATAAGGGTGGTATCATCTGCATATCTGAGGTTATTGATATTTATCCCGGCAATCTTGATTCCAGCTTGTGCTTCCTCCAGCCCAGTGTTTCTCATGATGTACTCTGCATATAAGTTAAAAAAGCAGGGTGAAAAATACTGCCCTGACGTACTCCTTCCCGATTTGGAACCAGTCTGTTGTTCCATGTCCAGTTCTAACTGTTGCTTCCTGACCTGCCTACAGGTTTCTCAAGAGGCAGGTCAGGTGGTCTGGTATTCCCATCTCTTGAAGAATTTTCCACAGTTTATTGTGATCCACACAGTCAAAGGCTTTGGCATAGTCAATAAAGCAGAAATAGATGTTTTCTGGAACTCTCTTGCTTTTTTGATGATCCATCGGATATTGGCAATTTGATCTCTGGTTCTTCTGCCTTTTCTAAAACCAGCTTGAACATCTGGAAGTTCACGGTTCGCATATTGCTGAAGCCTGGCTTGGAGAATTTTAAACATCACTTTACTAGTGTGTGAGATGAGTGCAATTATGTGTTAGTTTGAGCAATTTTGGCATTGTCTGTCTTTGGGATTGGAATGAAAACTGATCTGTTCCAGTCCTGTGACCACTGCTGAGTTTTCCAAATTTGCTGACATATTGACTGCAGAACTTTCTTAGCATCATCTTTCATGATTTGAAATAGCTCACCTGGAATTCCATCACCTCCACTAGCTTTGTTCATCATGATGCTTCCTAAGGCCCACTTGACTTCACATTCCAGGATGTCTGGCTCCAGGTGAGCGATCACACCATCATGATTATCTGGGTCATGAAGATCTTTTTTGTACAGTTCTTCTGTGTATTCTTGCCACCTCTTCTTAATATCTTCTGCTTCTGTTAGGTCCCTACCATTTCTGTCCTTTTTTGTGCCCATCTTTGCATGAAATGTTCCCTTGGTATCTCTAATTTTCTTGAAGAGCTCTCTAGTCTTTCCCACCCTCTTGTTTTCCTCTATTTCTTTGCATTGATCGCTGACACTAATGAACTCATTTTAGCTTGCAAAAAACCAAAAATAGGATTTCAAAGAATATAGATTACAATCCCAAGTTCCTTAGATTGTGCATATATACTTAGATATATTGAGTTGATGACATTATGAGATATTTTAGTTTTCTTTATATTTTTGGAATTTTTCAGATTTTCTATAATTATTTTATTTTTATAATTAGGTAAAAATGACACCTGCTACACCAGACATTTGTTCCACCATTTTTATATTTTCTTTTATTACATTTTTGTTGGATCATTTACTTGCAAGATATTTGTACTAGACGCTGTTTTAACTGTTGAGGCTGCAGCAGTGAATGAAGCATACAAAGCCTGCTGTTGAGAAGCTTTTATTCTATTAATATGCTAAATGTCATATTAACTATAATTTATACAGTAGTTATTTTGGTGTCAAATGTGAATAGAGGTCATTGCTATTGAGATGCAGTTAAGCTGAGTCTTAAGTAATCAACATATTACTTAAGCACTTGATATCACCATATATTGGGCCAAGTGTTTTATATAAATTTTCTCATTTAATCTTCCTTCTTAGGCAATTTGCCCATTATTACATGTCCGGTAAATGAGAAAGCAAGAATTCAAACCCACATCATCTGTTTTCAGAGTCTTTGTTCAGTTTTGAACAGTTCCTGAGCAAGTGCTCAAAAATATTTGTTGATAAAAATATTTCATGAATATTCTTATAAGTTTAGGTATACCTTCTGGGCCTGTGTATTCTAGAAAAAAGTGACAGAACAAGTAATCATGAACCTTGATACCTTTAGAGCAATGTACTTACTGTATGCTCTAAATCTCCTTTGGTTGGTCAAATTGAGTTGCTAAAGTTAACCATTGATTTTGAGCTGCCCATTTTGCATTATTGTGGTATTTACTTTGTAAGCTAAAAGCAGGAAAATTGGCTGCTGTAATATATGTCTGTCTGGCTTACTGGTTGTCTGGTTAAAGATCTGAATCATATGTCTCTCAGGTTCATGCTATGAGATCAGTTGAGTTTTGTCTAGACTTTGCCATGAGATTGTGAGACCCTAAAGAACTTGTCTTTTGACAGGCATAGGAACCTGGTGCTGCTTAGACCTTAGAAAAATGTTTATTGCATCCTTGAATGAGTTTTCTAATTTGGAAGTTTAGAGGACTCAGTGATATGGGCTAAAAGTTGAGGGGAGAAAAAGGTTATAATCTGGGAAAAAAGTTAAGGCTCACTGGCCAGCATATCTTGACTTTTAGTGTGTAAGAGACTTGCCAAGGGCTTAAATCAATCTTTGGATCCAGGCTTCAAAGATTCTTATCCATAAATGGATCTGGGGTGTAATCTTTCTTTCTATATTTTTAATAAGTACCCCAGGGAATTCTGAGGCAGGTAGTGTAAGGACTTCTAAAAATGCTATCTTTGGTCCTCTTTCTACATATTACATTCTTTACACACACACAATTTATTACATGCTGTAAGACTTGGAGAATACCAGAGGACACTATCTCAGCTACATACTAACATTTGTTAGAAATTAATTTTTGTATTCTCTGCCCATGTTGTCGTCTTCTGTACATCTCTCTCTAATTGTTATTGCTTCAGTTCAGTTCAGTTCAATTGCTCGTCGTGTCCGAGTCTTTGTGACACCATGAATCACAGCACGCTAGGCCTCCCTGTCCATCACCAACTCCCAGAGATTACGCAAACTCATGCCTGTCGAGTCGGTGATGCCATCCAGCCATCTCATCCTCTGTTGTCCCCTTCTCCTCCTGCCCCCAATCCCTCCAAACATCAGGGTCTTTTCCAATGAGTCAACTCTTCGCATGAGGTGGCCCAAGTATTGGAGTTTCAACTTCAGCATCAGTCTGTCCAGTGAACACCCAGGACTGATCTCCTTTAGGATGGATTGGTTGGATCTCCTTGCAGTCCAAGGGACACTTCAAGAGTCTTCTCCAGCACCACAGTTCAAAAGCATCAATTTTTTGGCGCTCAGCTTTCTTCACAGTCCAACTCTCACATCCGTACATGACCACTGGAAAAACCATAGCCTTGACCAGACGGACCTTTGTTGATTATTGCTTAGAGGTTAAGAAAAAGCAGACACATGAAGGTGGCTCTGTTGCTGGTAGAACAATTGCTCATTATTTTGCTGACCTCTTTTAAGTTAATATGAAACAAAATATAATCATATAATTTGCTTATAATCTCTTAAGTGACTGAACTAAGACTAGAATTCATAGCTTTTGGTTTCTAGTATGGCATTTTAACCTACTGATCACATTTCTTTCCTTTGGGTTTATTAATAGGCATATTCTCTTCTGTTTTAGTAAACTATCAATTTAATAAACTATCAGTTAATTAAAGCCATAAATATGTGAATTCTAGATCCAGAATTTTCAGGTCATTGTTTTTGTTGTGTTTTATCTTCCTCTTCTTATTTAAAAAGTTTTCTTTGTTTTAGATGATTCAATTTGTAAACATGAAATTGTTTATACAGTTCCCAGATTTTAAGTGTGCTTATTGATTGTTGCTTTTGCTAAATTTACAGATGGATTGAGTGATGAGAACAATGATGATCGTGTATTAAAATGCTGTCTTCAGTACCAAGAACTATTCCCTTGTTCTCTTGTTATTTTGTGCACGTGAGTTTAATAATCATTTTACTCTTTTTTTAAAAAATAGCAGTTTCTAATAATTTTAAAAAATCATACTGTAATGACTATACCAAGGATCAAAAACATACATAATATTCTAAATCTCCCAGTAAATGTATTGTTATATTTCACATTCTTATAATGTGCAGATTGTAGAGGAATGAGATTTGAATGTCATGAAGTTTCATTTCAACTTAAGTTATATGATATTTAGAAAACTTTTGAAAAAGCAAGGGAGAGTCAATTTAATATCCCAATAAAATAGTTAGAAATGAAAATCTACATTTTGGTCATGAGGCAAGAGGGTTAATTAATTAATTTGTTGGGAAAGGCTAATGTATGTTGCAGTTATATCCTGAGTGCCTGTAACAGAGTTAGAGTTGGAATTCTGGGTCTACCATTTACCAGCTTTGTGAACTTGGAAAGTTGCTTAATGTTTCCTTATGTGTGAAGCATAGGGACAATAATAATACCTGCATTTATGAGGATATTGTGAGTATTTAATCAGAAAAAGTATGCATGTATGACTTGGAAGAGTGCCTCATACATAAAATTATCTCAGTAAGAGTTTTTCCTCCTCCTCTTGTCCTCATTTCATTCCTCCATTCCCAACTAATATATTCATAAGTTAGTTCTAAGGTAAAAGTAGCATAATGTTAAGCCAAATTGTATTTATCATGTATGAGAAAAGGTACTATAGGAACTGATAAGAGCAATTTTAATTTGTAGCGTTAGTCTGAATTGTATTCACTTCAGAATGGAGTTTTTACAGTTTCATGATCATGGCTAAATTCTCTGAAATGGAGTGATTATGGAAATGAATAGTTCTTAGATTTTTCTTGTAAGAGGGTTGCCAGTTATCATTTTAGCTGTGTTCAAAGATAAAGTTTTTTTTTATTTTAAAAGAAACAGATTTCTATCTCTACTTTCAAATTATTTATTAATCTAGCACATAATATATCATCCTGGAGTTTGTTGAAAGCTGAAATAGATTTAGTAATATTTTAATCATTTTGAATTTGAGATAAGCTAAATTGAGAGAAAATTGTTTTTTTTTTTAGTTCCAATTAGAATGAAAATTAAATTGGTGAGATTTAATCAGTTCTCCATTATTTCTGCAGTCACTGTCTTGGAATAAACAGATGCAACAGTTTTTAATGAAACGGAAGTTTGTGGTCAACCTTTACTTTTACCTCTGGCACTGTCATGTTCCAGACAAGCCTTTTTTTGTTTTTTCCATTAAGTGTGATAATCATACTTACTGTGTAAATCAAACATACTTAATGTGAGGATACATTTTTACTACTTTAAGGGATGATGAGATGATAATTAACATTAATATTAATGGCAATGATAGGAGAAACCTTCTATAAATAATATGTACTATATCTCATTCTAAGTGCTTTACTCACATTTTTAATCTTAAGTATGGGCCAGCAACCTCCAGTTAGTATTTCCAGTCCACATCTCTCTTCTAAACTCTAGACTAATATATTTATCTATTTATTTGTTATCTGTTTGGATGTCTCATAGACATCTGAAACCTGCCATCTCCAAAAATGAACTCATAATCTTTCCTTCTAAACTGTTCTCCTTTTGAATAAAAAAGGTCATCTTCTCCCCATTTTGCTAAAGCCAGAAACCTCAGAGACATTTTTTATTTCTGCCTTTCCTTCATAATCTTTAGTCGGGCAAATAGTAGGTCTTGTGTGGTCTTCTTTTCTTCACCTACTCTGCCACCTTCCTATGTCGTGATATTATTTTTCCTCTTCCTTTTCTTCTCTAAGACCCATTATGCTCTCTGCTTCCATATTCTCCTTCATTTATTTTTCAGAAAAAATAATAACGGTATTTTTAATTTTTAAAAAGTTTTGTTATGAAGAATTTCAACAACTTTCAAAGTGAAGAAGAATTAATAAACTCCTAAGTACCTAGCTACAATAATTATCAAGTTTCTACAGTTCTGTTACCTTATATTTCCATCTACTCCTTGTCCTATGATACGATAATTTTTATACAGTTCTTTTGATATTGAGGGAAACTGTATGTTAAAATGCCCAAATCTGAACTATACAGTGTGACAATGGATACCCTGGTTGTAGCCCCACGTCCCTCCTGATACATAGAACACTTCCATTATCCCAGAAAATGTGCTCTTGCCTGTTTTGTACCCTTTTTCTAGTTTCTTAAAGTGGAAGCTAAGATAATTTATTTGAGACTTCTGTAAATTTCCCTTTAAGCACTGTCTTAGCTACATTTCACAAATTTTGATACATTATTTTTTAAAAATTCAATTTAATATGCTTTCTAATTTGAATTCCTGGTGGTCTGGTCTAGTGGTTAAGCTCAATGCTTTCCCTGTTGGGGCTGGGGTTTGATCCCTGGTAGGGGAGGTAATCCTGCAAGCCATGTGGTGCAGCCAAAAAATAAAGAAAATAATGTTTTATAATTTCCCCCATGACCCATTTCCTTTTGACTCACAGGCTTTTAGATATTTGGTGCACTTAGCTCCAAATATTTGGAAATTTTCCAGTTATTTTCTTGTTATTGATTATACTTTAATTCTGTTATATGACTGGAGAACATAATTTATATGATTTCTGTTCCTTTAGATTTGTTAAACTTGGTTTTATGCCCATGAATGAAGTCTAAAGTTGGTGAATGTTTTATGTTCTCTTAAGAAGAATTTATTCTGCTCTTGTGGGTTGAGTATTCTATAAATATCATATATGTCAAGTTTGTTGATAGTGTTGTTTAGGTCTTCTGTAACCTTAGTATTAATAATTATCTGTCTGCTTATTTTATAATTACTGAGAAAGGAGTCTTAAATTTCCAAACTGTAATTTATTGATTTGTTTGCTTCTCATTTCCATTCTGTTTGTTTTACTTCATGAATTATGAAGCTCTGTTGTCAGAGGCATGCACATTTAGGATAGTCTTGGAGAATTGACACCTTTCTCATTATCTAATTGCTGTCTTTGTTCCTGATAATATTCCTGATTCTGGAGTTTCCTTTGTTTAATATTAATATTACTATTCCAGTGTTGTTTGCTTTGTATTTATAATAAATATCTTTTTCATCCATTTACTTTTAACCTATCTATATCTTTATATTAAAGTATTTTGTAGATAGCATATAATTGATGCTTTTCTTTTTTCCATTCTGACAATTTCTGTCTAATTGATGAGTTTCTACTATTCATATTTAATTGGTTGGATCAGAATCTACCATTTTGCTAATTTATTTTTTATTTGTTCAGCTATTCTTTTCTTCCTTTTCCTTTTTTTTCCCCCTTGGATTAACTGTGGTGCCATTTTATCTCCATTATTGACTTTGTACCTTTTTGAAAAAAAACTTTATAATGGTTGCCTTAGTGTTTATAATATACATCTTTACTTGATCAAAGTCTGTCTTTAAATAACACTATATTGCTTCATGTTTAGTATAAGTATTTTAATATGCTTTGAATTTCTCCCCCATCCATTATGCTATCATTATTACATATTTTACTTTTATAGAAACAATAGCACAGTACTTTATAATAGTTCTGCTTCACCCATTTGCCATTTAAAGGAATTAAAAATAAGAAAGTGAATGTTTTTATCTTGCATTCCATTTTTAGCATTCTTTATTTCTTTTTTTGAATCCAAGTTTCTGTCTTGTGCCAGATTTCTGGTCATATTCCTTTTGCCTAAACAACTTTGACATATGTAAGTACGTTGGCAGTGAATTTTCTTGTTTTGTTTGTCTGATAGTGTGTTTATTTCTCATTTATTTCTGAAGGATATTTTTACTGGATATGCAATTCTGGGTTATTTGTTTTTTCTGTTTCTTTGAGTATTTTAAAGGTATCACTCCATTTTCTTCTAACTTGTTTGATTTCTGGTGAGAAGTCTGCTATAAATATTTAATTCCTCTGTGTGTAATGTTCTTTTGGTCTTTTTTTCCCCCTCTCATTGCTTTCAAGATTTTTTGTCTTTTTATTTAGCAGTTTGTTTTTAGAAGTCTTTAGCAGATGTACCCACTCCAGTGTTCTTGCCTGGAGAATCCCAGGGACGGGGGAGCCTGGTGGGCTGCTGTCTGTGGGGTTACACAGAGTCGGACATGACTGAGTGAGTTAGCAGCAGCAGCAGATGTACCACGTGTTTGTGTGTATGTTTGTGATCCAAGCATGCATGCTCAGTTACTCAGACATGTCCAACCCTTCGTGACACCGTGGATTGTAGCCTGCCTGGTTCCTCTGTCCACGGGATTTTCCAGGCAAGAATACTGGAGTGAGTTGCCATTTCCTCCTCCAGGGTATCTTCCCAACCCAGGGATTGAACCTGTGTCTCCTGCATTGACAGGTGGATTCTTTACCACTGAGCCACCTGGGAAACCTGTATGCTTGTGGTAGAGGAGAGGAAATTATCCTGCTTGATGTTCTCTGAGCTTCTTGGATCTATGGTTTGGTGTTCATTTTTTAGATTTGAAAAATTCTCAGTCATTATTTCTTTAAATATTTAATATGTCTTCTGTCCCATTCCCTCTTTTCTCCTTCTGGTATTACAGAATTATTAATACATTGTAGTAGTCAGCCTCTAAGATGATTCCAGTGATTCCTTGCCTCTTGGTATCTTTTTGTTTTTGTTTCTTTGGCTGTGCTGTTCCACTTGCAGGATCTTAGTTACCAATCAGAAATCAAGCCCAGGCCCTCTGCAATGGAAGCGCAGAGTCCTAACCGCTGGACCACCAGGGGGTTCCTGTGCCTCTTAGTGTTAATTCCCTTGTGTAGTCCTCTCCTACGCTGTACCAGGGTTGGTCGTCTGTGTGACAGATAGCATGCATCAGAAGTGGTGGTATGTCGCTTCTGAGATTAGTTTATGAAAGACTGGCAGTTCCTTTTTGGGCACACTCTTTGTTTCTTTCTCTTGGATCACTTGTTCTGGGGAAGCAAACTCCATGCTCTGAATAGCTCTATGGAGATGCCCACCTGGTGAGAAACTGAAGCCTCAAGCCAAAAGCCAGTGAAGGGCTAAGCCCTACCAACAGCTACATGAATGAGCACCAATTAAATCATGAGGTGACTGTAACACTGGGGAGTAGTATGCTTCAACTTTGTGAGATACCCTGAGCCAGAACCATTCAGTCAAGCTGCTCACAGATCCCTCACTTTTAGAAACTGTGTGAGATAATAAATGTTTTTTTCACACTGCTAAGTTTTGGGGATAAACTGTTACACACCCAATAGACAACTAATACATGTCTATATATTTGACTATTTGATATTGTCCAGCAGCTCTTACATATTTTTTTTTTAACATTTTCTTCTCTTTTGTTTCAGTTTGGATAATTTCTTTTGACCTGTCTTAATGTTCGGTCTTTCCTCACCTGTGTTGAGTATACTGAGGAACTTGTTGAAGGCATTTTTAATTTCTGTCTGGTTTTAAATGCTATTCACCTATTCTGTTGGGCTTCCCAGGTGGTGCTAATGGTAAAGAACCCACTTGCCAAAGCAGGAGCTGTAAGAGATGTGGGTTGGATCCCTGGGTGGGGAAGATCCCTTGAAGGAGGGCTTGGCAACCTACTCCAGTATTCTTGCCTGGAGAGTCCCATGGAGAGAGGAGCCTGGTGGGCTACAATGCCTAAGGTGACACAGAGTCAGACATAACTGAAGAGACTTAGCACACATGCACCTTTTTGATTAGAGCCTTTGACACATTAATCAAAATTCTTTAAAATTTCCTGTCAGATAGCTTCAACGTCTGTGTCATATCTGAGTCTGGTTCTATTGATTGCTTTGTCTCTTGGAAGTATATTGCTCTTTTTCTGGGTTGAATTTATATGCAGATTTTAAGGCTCAACTCTGTGATTTCCTCCCTTGTTCAGTTTCCCCTTAACTGTCTATATGTTTTGGCCTGTGCTACCTAACATTGCCTTCTGACATTTCAAGCCACAAAGGCTCTGACTTTCTGTCCTAAAGCATTGATGAGTTGGGGAATGCCCTCAGGCAAAAAGATAGAAAAGTGTGCTCTTAACCTTTGCAGTGTCTGTGTCTTGAGTGTAGATTCCCCTCCACCTTCTACCTTCATTTTATTGCTCTTTAGTGCCTTCAAATAGGTTTTGCCTTTTTTGTTGTTTTTGGTCTAGATTTTTTAATTCTCTCTATGGGAAGTTAGTCTGACCAAGCTACTCTGCCATTAACAAGCTGGAAGCCTACTAGTCTCAAGAACAACCGTTTGGTAAAGACGGATCTGATGTCATTTCTGCATTGAAGCCCTTACATCTCTTTCCATTTGTTAACATCCTTGACTTTCTCTGTAGCCACGTAAACTGGTCTTATCCACTATATCTAATCATCCTGGCTTCTTTCAGCATATGGCAAATTCACATCGTTTGTCTTCAGTCATCAGTTCAATCACTCAGTCGTGTCCGACTCTTTGTGACCCCATGAACTACAGCACGCCAGGCCTCCCTGTCCATCACCAACTCCTGGAGTCCACCCAAACCCATGTCCATTGAGTGGGTGATGCCTTCCCACCATCTCATCCTCTGTCGTCCCCTTCTCCTCCTGCTCTTAATCTTTTCCAACATTAGGGTCTTTTCAAATGAGTCAGCTCTTTGCATCAGGTGGCCAAAGTATTGGAGTTTCAGCTTCAACATCAGTCCTTCCAATGAACACCCAGGACAGATCTCCTTTAGGATGGTCTGGCTGGATTTCCTTGCAGTCCAAGGGACTCTCAGGAGTCTTCTCCAACACCACAGTTCAAAAGCATCAATTCTTTGGCACTCAGCTTTCTTTATAGTCCAACTCTCACATCCATACATGTTCAGTTCAGTTCTGTTCAGTCGCTCAGTCGTGTCCGACTCTTTGCGACCCTATGAACCGCAGCACGCCAGGCCTCCCTATCCATCACCAACTCCCGGAGTCCACCCAAACCCATGTCCATTGAGTCGGTGATGCCATCCAACTATCTCATCCTCTGTCATCCCCTTCTCCACCTGCCCTCAATCTTTCCCAGCATCAGGGTCTTTTCAAATGAGTCACCTCTTCGCATCAGGTGGTCCAAGTATTGGAGTTTCAGCTTCAACATCAGTCCTACCAATGAACACCCAGGACTGATCTCCTTTAGGTTGGACTGGTTGGACCTCTTTGCAGTCCAAGGGATTCTCAAGAGCCTTCTCCGACACCACAGTTCGAAAGCAGCAATTCTTTGGCACTCAGCTTTCTTTACAGTCCAACTCTCACATTCATACATGACCACTGGAAAAACCATAGCCTTGACTAGACGGACCTTTGTTGACAACATAATGTCTCTGCTTTTTAATGTACTAACTAGGTTGGTCATAATTTTCCTTCCAAGGAGTAAGTGTCTTTTAATTTCATGGCTGCAGTCACCATCTGCAGTAATTTTGGAGCCCAGAAAAATAAAGTCTGACACTGTTTCCACTGTTTCCCCATCTATTTGCCATGAAGTGATGGGACCAGATGCCATGATCTTAGTTTTCTGAATGTTAAGCTTTAAGCCAGCTTTTTCACTCTCTTCTTTCACTTTCATCAAGAGGCTCTTTAGTTCTTCTTCACTTTCCACCATAAGGGTGGTGTCATCTGCATATCTGAGGTTATTGACATTTCTCCCGGCAATCTTGATTCCAGCTTGTGCTTCCTTCAGCCCAGCGTTTCTCATGGTGTACTCTGCATATAAGTTAAATAAGCAGGGTGACAATATACAGCCCTGACATACTCCTTTTCCTATTTGGAACCAGTCTGTTGTTCCATGTCCAGTTCTAACTGTTGCTTCCTGACCTGCCTACAGGTTTCTCAAGAGGCAGGTCATTTGCCTTAGGCCCACTCTAAATAAATTTGTAATTGCCTACCCTGTGTAAATCATTTATTTTATTATGGCTCTTAATGTTTATTTTGCTTGGAATGATCATATTCTTGTGGTCAAATCCACCTCCCACTTACTGGGTGTAACTTTGGACAAGTTACTTAACCTTTTTATACTTCAGTTTCTTATGTGTGAAATGGGGATAAAAATTAGTAACACTCCTACCTAAGAAGTTTGTTATGATAATTAAATGGATTGATATATATAAAGTGCTTAGCATAGTTCCTGATACCAGGAAAACATTCAATATATAACAATATTAATTATTCTCAAAAGCTAAAATGATATGGCTAGTGTATGATAATCTATCTTCTGCATTAAAAAATTATCCTTTGTTAATTAATATATGTACTGAGAATCACCAGCTTCTGATTAGATTCCATGTGATTTTAGTTGCCATGTGATTTGTCTTATAAAAAATAAAATATTTTTTCCTCCTAATCCAACCTAGGGATGATAGAAATTTAAGAAACAAAGGCCTAATAAGTGGTGTGAAGTCACTCAGTAAAGAAGAATTGAGTGCAGAGTTTTTAAACTTATCTCTGAACACAGATGTATGTCATCAGCCTTGTATATCTAAACAACAATTGAAAGCAGGTAGTATTCTTACTACAAATAATTAGAAGTATATCTTATTTTGTGTACTAAGAATATTGACAACAGTTGGAATTAATAGTAAATTTTTATTTTGTACATTTAAAGAAACATTGGAGTATTTGCTGGCACATAAATGGTAGAAATGAATGAATATTATGATGGTGATCCAAGAAAAAGCATACATTATTTAATGCCTTCTATATATACTTGTACAAATTAATTCAAATTTTTGTCTGTACACTCATATACATTTTTATATATTTGTAATCACCATGTGCATCCTATTTTTTCCTTCACAGAGGATACTTTTAAAATTAATAGTAGCTATAAGAAATATCCATTTGAGGTAGGGAAAATAGTTTATTCTTAAAATTAGTTTCATATTCATAACTTCCTATTAATACAGTAAAACAGTAATAGACTTGAAGGACTCTAGTAGTAATGTTTTTAAATTTAAACTGATATACACATTATTTAAAAACATATCTCACCATTTCCTTCTGAGGGAAAAATAATTATTGAAGTCTTTAATAGCATATGCATATGCTTCATATATTCATATTTGAATATATGCTACTTATTTGGTGCTTATTTCACCGTTTTGGTAATAAAATTTCCTTTGTCATAATATTCTAAATGGTCTTTAGAGGCAGTTACAGAATATTCTGTTTTATAGTTTTTCAAGGGAAATATGCTTTTGATTTGCTCATTGTATTACTGACATTTAAAATTTTTACTTCATATTCATAGAGATAATCCCCTTCGTATTTTGAATTTTGCCATAAAGAAATTGCAGTTATTTGCAGGTGTCAAAATAGTAATTATAATGAAATAATATAAATAAAAATAATCAAAACTAATATTAGAAAGTAAAGGTATATAGGTAGTTAAGTCAGAGATTCTAGTCTTTTCAAGACAGTTTATTGATACGAGTTATGTTTATGATTTTTGGAAGTAAACACATTTTGAGCCGTAGTTCTTGGTTTTTCTATTATAAATATTAATAGATGCAACGAATTTTTTTAATTTTTTAAATAATGAAAGATTAAAATATACACATTTCTCTTTTATACTTTGTCCTACCTCCTTTTGAAGACAATGGGCTGCTTTTCTGGGCACCTGATGTCCTCTGCTAGTGATTAGAAGTTGTTTTGTGGAGTTTGCTCAGCGTTCAAATGATCTTTCGATGAATTTGTGGGGGAGTAAGTGGTCTCCCCATCCTATTCCTCTGCCATCTTAGCTCCTCCTCCCACATTTCTCAAATTTCTTTTTTCTCTCAAATTTCTATTTTAGTAAAAACATTTCATTGCCTTTTGTCGAAAAGATAACGCATTTACTAATGTAATATGTATTGCATCTAAAAACAGCTGTACTAAATATTTCTAAATACTCTTTATTTATTTATTTTTGGCCATGCCACATGGCTTGCAGGAGTTCCCCGACCAGGGATTAAACCAGGGCCAGGGCAAGTGAAAGCCTGGATCCTAACCAGTAGTCTACTAGTGAACTCCCCAAAATCTTGTTTTAATAATATTCATTTGTTCTCTAGATTCAAATACTAATTATATCCATTAAATGTTTATTATTTATGGACAAATACTAATTATATATGTAAAATAGTTACTATTAATGTTCTAAGTAAAGCTTATAACTATTTGTTTTGAAGAAAAAGCACCTTTGGAGGAGATCTATGAGGAAGAATCTACAAACTCTGGACTACCCGTTCTATTTGAAAGCATTGTATCTGATCTCGAAAGATCTCTTGGAACAGCTTTATCTTCAATATTAGAAACAGAAATGAAAATTGCTTTTGGAAACCTTTGGATGGAGGTAATTATTTGAACGCTTCATTAAAAATTTCTTTTTTATTGCTAAAGATTTGTTGCCTTATTTTAAGAAATACTATTTCTATAAAATATATGTTTCATTATAATAATCGATATCACATTAATTTTTTCTTCAAGTTTTTGGAATAACTTTAAAAACTAACTGATGGATATTTCCTAAAGATTAGGACTATTTTTTCATTCAGTTTTTCAGTGAACAAATATTTATTGGGTGTCTACCATTTGTCAGACACATTTCCTCCATGGAGCTTAAATTGAAAGAAAATGTCTCATTTTTAGTTTATTTGAGTCAAAATGTCTAGTATAGGGAATTATCTTAGCAATATCTACTCAGAAAAGGAAGTGTATATTGTGGCTTATGTGATGTAAGTTTGAGAATCAGAGTATAAATTTGGTATTAGTAGAATATTTTGAATTTTCTTTAGATTCACATCTTTTCTGTAATAAATAAACATCACATTTGGGAATCGTGGCCTTCTTAGTTTAATGTTTGTTTGCTGTTCACATTTATCATTAGGAGAAAGTTTATTCCCTATCAATTGTATCTATCCCAGATATTCAGTGAGATTCTAATATTTGTCAGTGTGGCTTGATTATACTATCAAGTGTTAAACCAAGATGTTGAAGAATGATCAGATTCTAGGAAGGCTGATGTAAATTAGATTTCATAATAGAGTCTACTAAAGTGATTGCATATGAATGGTTGAAGAAAGGATGTACTGACATCTTGTAGTACTTAATGATGAGTTTTCTTTATAAACATCTCTTTATAGGAGTGTAGCAAGTGTCAATTATAGTTTAAAATTCTTTTCTATATAGATGTTTTTCTCTAGTTTTAGGAAATTAGATTGATTTTTTTGTAGAAATGACCATGTGGAAAGGTAGATGACAACTTTTGCTGACTAGAACTGTAGTTTTTCTGATTAAAACTATTCTTTTTTTTGACACACATAGTTTCTGAAACTGTAAGTATTACCACTAATGTGAATTTTATAAAAGCAATTTTTGGTGGAATAGGCATTTTAAGATTGTGACTGGCTTTTAATAAAACATCTTTTAATTTAAGAAGAATTCCATTATGTTTTGCCTAGAAATATATGTAGGAATTCCTAAATAGGTACTTTTAAATAACAGAATAATAAATACATCAATAATGCTATTTTTCTCTAGATGCTGTACTTGAAACCTCCATGGACTCTAATACATTTATTACAGTGTTTTAGAAAACATTGGTTGGCTGTATTTGGATTAGTTATGGAAAAGAACTTGCTCTTAACCATTGAGAGTCTATATGAAAATCTCCGTAAAGGTATGACTCTTTCCTTTTGTCTTTGGAAGTGTTGTATTAAAGTCAGAATAATAGCTATATCCCATGTGTAGATGAATTAATAAAAAATTTTTCAATTATTGCTCAACCATTTACACTTTTAATTTCTTAAGGAAATTTATGGCAGCTAGATGAATGGATGGAATTCATAGAGATTGTGACTGTTCATTGTATCATTTTTGATGTTCAAATAGTTTATCAAGATTTCTACTTAAAATACATGGTTAAGCAATAGGAATCCTTTGGCTTTGGTGCAAAATGAATTTTAGAACCACAAGAGACTAGAATCAACCACTTAGTTGGTAGTTCTTAAACTGTATCACACAGAACCTTCTTGAAGTGCTTCTGGAGTTGCCAGAGATTAGGGATGGAAAGGTTAATGGGCAGCCTGATAATAGTGGGCCTTCGGCCTTCAACCCCAACTTTAGCCATTCAGTTTTCTTTTATTTATTTATGTAGAGAGATTCCATGTGTGATTAAAAAAGAAAAAGTTTTTCTGCTAAGAAGCAGAAGATGTGAAAAGCACTGATCTAACAGTGGGCTACAGTTTCAGGTCAGCTCAGTCACTCAGTTGTGTCCGACTCTTTGCGACCCCATGGACGGCAGCATGCCAGGCCTCCCTGTCCGTCACCAACTCCCAGAGTTCACCCAAACCCATGCCCATTGAGACGGTGATGCCATCCAACTATCTCATCCTCTGTCGTCCCCTTCTCCACCTGCCCTCAATCTTTCCCAGTGTCAAGGTCTTTTCAAATGAGTCAGCTCTTCGCATCAGGTGGCCAAAGTATTGGAGTTTCAGCTTCAACATCAGTCCTACCAATGAACACCCAGGACTGATCTCCTTTAGGATGGACTGATTGGATCTCTTTGCAGTCCAAGGGACTCTCAAGAGTCTTCTCCAACACCACAGTTCAAAAGCATCAATTCTTCGACACTCACCTTTCTTTACAGTCCAACTCTCACATCCATACATGACCACTGGAAAAACCATAGCCTTGACTAGATGGACCTTTGTTGGCAAAGTAATGTCTCTGCTTTTTAATATGCTGTCTAGGTTGGTCATAACTTTCCTTCCAAGGAGTAAGCGTCTTTTAATTTCATGGCTGCAATCACCATCTGCAGTGATTTTGGAGCCTAAAAAAATAAAGTCAGCTACTGTTGCCACTGTTTCCCCATCTATTTGCCATGAAGTGATGGGACCAGATGCCATGATCTTCATTTTCTGAATGTTGAGCTTTAAGCCAACTTTTTCCACTCTCCTCTTTCACTTTCCTCATGAGGCTCTTTAGTTCTTCTTCACTTTCCACCATAAGGGTGGTGTCATCTGCATATCTGAGGTTATTGATATTTCTCCCTGCAGTCTTGATTCCAGCCTGTGCTTCCTCCAGCCCAGCGTTTCTCATGATGTACTCTGCATATAAGTTAAAAAAGCAGGGTGAAAATACACAGCCCTGACGTACTCCTTCCCGATTTGGAACCAGTCTGTTGTTCCATGTCCAGTTCTAACTGTTGCTTCCTGACCTGCCTACAGGTTTCTCAAGAGGCAGGTCAGGTGGTCTGGTATTCCCATCTCTTGAAGAATTTTCCACAGTTTATTGTGATCCACACAGTCAAAGGCTTTGGCATAGTCAATAAAGCAGAAGTAGATGTTTTTCTGGAACTCTTGCTTTTTCGATGATGCAGCAGATGTTGGCAATTTGATCTCTGGTTCTTCTGCCTTTTCTGAAACCAGCTTGAACATCTGGAAGTTCACGGTTCGCATATTGCTGAAGCCTGGCTTGGAGAATTTTGAGCATTACTTTGCTTGCATGTTTATGGGCTACACTTTATGGGATCTCAAAAGAGTCAGACATGACTTAGCGACTAAATAAATATTACTAAAGTCTGTTTTTTATCATCAAGGAAACTAGCTTTGAGAGAGTAAGTAATTTGTCCAGAGTGAACAGCTCCATTTCTTTTGCTGTACCTTTGAAAAGGGAAGTATAAACCATTATTACGATGTTCAGTTAGTTCTTGACTTTTCTCAAACTCCTAATGAAGTGATCTATGTTATGTATTAGTTATGTCCTGTCTACTTTTTTAAAATAACAGTATATATGAGCCTTTAAATGACCACCTCAGTACAAGAGAGTTTAAGTTAGGCTTAAAGGTACAAGAGCCAGGTAATGAAGAAGAATAAAAGACATAGTTTTACTATAAAACATGTGCAAACAATTATTGCAGCACTTGAACACAGATTTTAGCACTAAGCTTCCTAGCAGCTAAGATAAAACAAAAACATTCTATGATGGATATACCACTTCTCTTTTCCCCTGAAGTGTAAACTCTGAAAATGTTTTACATCTTTATAAATTTCCCCAGGAAACTTAAAGTTCCTAATCAATACTTTATGACATATATGTAGTGGATGTTGCATGAATATTTATTTTTTAAAGTTACCGATTTTTAAAATAAAGATACACATTCCAGGCATTGACCTTTAGCTATAAAATATTTATTAGGGGTATTACTATTAAGGAATGACATATTAGACATGTCTTCAAAGCATTTTAAAAGATATATAGAAACAGTGTTCATATATTTTACTAGGGACATAATTTTGTTGCTTCTGAAGTCCATAAACCATGTGTGATCTTAAATAAGACTTGGTTTCAAAAATGGGATATCTAGTTGCCATCTTCCATTTGTCTGTTTTCCAGGGCTGGGCAGTTTTTTTGTGCTTATATGGAACTTAGAGGTAGTAGTCAGTAGTTCTATTTTTCTCTAATAACAAGAGAAGTGAAGAGAGATGACCATTCCTTTCATTAAAAACTCATTTGGAGGATTATTGTGTAATCATAATTTATTGGTTTTTGATCTAGGAGAATCTGATGCCTAATGTTTACAGACTTGTGAATGATATGTAATAGAATTATAAAAATGCCTTCTGCTCTAAAATAATTTTGAATTAGAAAAAATTACAGATAATTTTGTTTATAATCTTTTAATAGTATCCACAGCTGTTGAATTATACGTGTGTTTAACTTACTGTACCAAGCATGTCGCTTTAGATCAATTCATAGAAAATTATGTAGAAAATGAGTAGTAGCTTTTTCTGACTTCATTTTCCATATTAATTTTCACCTAAATAATTGTTGACCTTATATAAACATTAAATTATTTCAGCCTTGTAGATTTTTTTAATGCTTTGTCTAAGTACTGAATTGATCATTGGCATTATACTTTTGCCTTAATCTTTAGTAAAGAATTCTTTTAAGATGAAATAAAATTATTAATTCAAGGATTTCAGCCCTATCAAATATATACTACACTGGAGAAGCACCATTAAAAGAAGTTGTGCCCAACTGCCTCCTCTGAGGAGATTTACCTCCTTTCTGTCCTCTGTAGCATCTCTTATCTCTAATTTTCCCATAGGAATTTGAACTAGTCTTTGATTTTAAAAATAACCGAAAGTGTTTTGTAAGGAGATGCACTGTTTGCTTGATAAAAGGGTAGCCAGAATCTTGGCTGTAACCATCACATTAGATCAGAATTTCAGAATATTGAGTAATTAATTATGAAAATCCACTTTTTATTTTCATTTAACCTTTCAGGATTTCACAAGCAAATATTTGTTATGTAAGTTATACAGAAAAACTATTTTTTTAACTCATAGTGCCAGTGTTTCAGAATAAAATAGAATTTCTGAAGCTGTGAACCTAAAAGAAAACAAAGCAAACACATTGCACTGTGGTTATTTTAAATGCCTTTGAAAACTATTATGCAGTATTCTCTCTTAATAATAGAGATAATTTTTTCTGTTCTGAATTTTGGTAACATTAGAAAGTTGTTTAACTTCATTGTTCATAACTTTGAATCTTTGAAATTATTGTCACCACTTCTCCTAATTGATTTGAGAATTTAATGTAAGCAAGTTTACTTCCTTGAGACAAAAATGTTACATCTTTAAATTATTACCTGTAGATTAACTCACTTTGCTAATTTAAGGGGGGAAAATTCTATTAGCTTCTTTTGCCCATAGCTCACTGTTAACCCAAGTAGTTTTTCACTGAAATTGGATTGTGTCCAGAGAAACACATTTTCAATAAATCTGGTATTATATTTAATGTGATGGAATTTGAAGATAAGTCACTACATGATTACTGAGTTGATTATGAAAGGTACTGCATATAATTTAAATGCTTACCACCAAAATGTGGACACCGTGATGTCTCAAGAGTAATCTTGAGACATACAAGATTACAAACAACCTCAGTTTTGAAAATCTGTAGTTTAACTCAGGTTTGGTGATTATCTCTTCTGAAGAGTATAACATTCTTTCATTTTACTTTTAATTTTTAAAAATTGAAGTATAATTGGAGTATAGTTGATTTACAATGTTGTGTTAGTTTTTGGTGTACAGCATAATGATTCGGATACATATATATGCATATTCTTTACATTGTGGTTTATTGAAAGGTATTGAATATAGTTCCCTATGCTATACAGTGAAGTGAAGTGAAGTCGCTCAGTCGTGTCCAACTCTTTGCGACCCCATGGACTGTAGCCTACCAGGATCCTCAGTCCATGGGATTTTCCAGGCAAGAGTACTGGAGTGGGGTGCCATTTCCTGCTATACAGTAGGACCTTGTTATCTGTCTATTTTGTGTATAGTAACTTGTGCATTTCACTTTTACTTTGAAGTTGACCTTTTTGAGGGAAATTTTGGAATCTGAATATAGTCTCAGTATCCACAGGGAATTGGTTCCAGGACCCCTGAGGATAGCAAAATTTTCCATGCTCAAGTCCCTTGTATAAAATGTCTTAGTATCTGTATATAACTTACGCATATCCCCCTATATACTTTGAATCATCTCTAGATTACTTGTAGTACCTAATGCAATGTAAATGCTGTGTAAATAGGTGCCAGTGCACAGCAAATTCATGTTTTGCTTTTTGGAACATTATAGAACATTTTTCCCCCAAATACTTTTGATCTATAGTTGATAGAAACTGTACATGTGAAAACTTACAGATATGGAAGGCCAGCTTCACAGAATGCCAGAATCAACTCCAAGAACTTTGTCTAAAACTAAGTCTCATTATGGCTTTTTACACCAGAGAGGTAAATTAGGAGCCTATAGATGTAAATGTATACTCTCCTTAAATTTCTTAATTATTATTAGATTGATTTTCCGAAAGTATTTTTGTGTTGTATACTCACTCTTACATATTTTTTCCTTCTTAATTTTCTGTTACCAGCTAATAAAGCAGTGGATTTTACAACAATGAAATTCCTGCTTCAGGATTCTAAAAGTTTGCTACATGCTTTTAGTACGAGGTCAAATTATGATGGTATTCTTCCACAGGCCTTTACTCAAGTGAACAAACTACTCCAAACATTTGCAGAGGTAAGATACCTTTAGAATGCATTTAGAGTAATCATATGTTATAAGAATGTATTTATCAGACAACAGTAGGTAGGAAATTTAACATACTCTAACATACTAAAAGCATTAAGTAAATATTAAGTGAATTGAATGGAGACTGAACAATCCTTATTACAAGTTATAAAACACTCATACTCCTGTGGAAGCAGTGTCAGAGCAGTTGTTGGGATTTCATATTGTTTCATTTATGAATAGAAGAGAACTATGCATTGTTGCTTGACTACTCATTTTTCAGTACATGCATTAAAATACTTCAGAAATTTTTTTAAGCATGCAGATGCCATGCCCCTTACTGAGTAAAATTTCTGTCAGTGGTGCCCAGAAGTATTTTTGTTCTTGATTCATGTTTTATTTTGAAATAATTTCAAACTTACAAAAAAATTATAAGAGTAACATAAAGAATTCTCATATGTGTCCTTTACCCCCATTTGCCAATGTTAACCTTTTATCACATTTGCTTTTATTATTTTCTGTCTTCTACCTACCAGTCTACTTATCTATCCAGAATTTTTTTCTGAATTATTTAAGAGTATTTTGCAGATATTATCCCTTTACCCCTAAATATTTCCATATATATATATTTCCTAATGAATAAGGATATCTTATATAACTAGTATAATCAGGAAATTAATATTGACATAATCCAATTATCTAACCTACAGACCGTATTCAAACTTTACCAGTTGATCTACCAGTTTTTTAACAGGTCTCCTCATGTGATTCTTATGCAATCTGCCCAGCACTGATAACTTTTTGCCCCTTTAAAATAACTACGTGAATTTTGTCCCTAGTAATACTATATTTCTAGAGTCTTCTGATTGCACATCTAGAAAATTCAGGTCATTTTATATGCCTGAAACAGTTAAAAAAACTCAGCATCACAATTACATCGTTAGATATCAATGATACTTTCATCTAATGTATATATGTGTGTGTGTATGTGTGTGTCGTATCTTTTTTTCCTTTGAGTTATTGAATTGGCCAGGTTTTCCTCTGTGGTTTTTTTCTGGTAACATAGGCCCTGGTACCTATGAAGTAATGAAAGGTTTAGATGATACTAAACTTAGTCATAATCACTGAGGAAAGGATTTAATTTACTTAAGACTAAAAGAAGCATCTTTTTGATAAACTAAGAGGAAATATATGTTATTTCTTGAGGAAAGGATTGATTTAAGGGGTGAATAATTTTTTGGTTTAAGATGATCAAAACATTGGTACTTATTCTTTTAAATGGCAAGTGTGACTTTTAGAATCTTCAGTAGGGAAGAATAGACCTGGGAATTTAGGAGTTGCAGCTTGAGTATTATAATTGAATTGTGTAGGGAAGAGCACATTATCCTTTCCCTCACAGAACTGAGCCCTAAAACCCCATCTTTAGTGAAACAACCATGGTGAACGAAATGGAAGGTTTAGGATACTTACAATCTTAGCAGCCTTTGAATTAAAATTATTGAGAATTAAAAAATTAGGAATGACTGAGATAAAAATGATATCAAGATTCTTTTATCAGTTGGAAACCTAGCCATGGGAGTTTTCTTCCATGAAAAGTTTGATATTAAAATCTAGTGTTGTTTGTCACATAATTGTATGCCTGTTATATATTGCCCACTTGTAAACATATTGGCTTGTTATTTAGTAAGTTATTTATTCTTGGATCCTGATTTTCTAGTTGCCACATTAGCAAGAGATTCAAGAAGACAAGGGACAAAAAATCTAGTATTCTCTTTAGTGCTTTTCCCTCAACATTAAGCATTAGTCTGATTGTTTGAAACAAGTTGTGTTATTTCCACAATTAGAGCTTTCAAGTATTGCTTTATTTTTGTATTTGAAACAATTCATTGTCTAAGTCAGCCAAGAACATTGTGATTTAGCTTGGGCTTTTAAAATGCACTTTCAATATTTTGTAGAGTGCATCTGATTTATGACCTGAATACTTAGTTATGTGTCACTAACTTGAACAACGAAAAGAAAGAGATTACCTCCAGGAATAGAATATCTAAGTATAGTAACTGTAAAAAAAAAAAAAAATCCCCCTTATCTTAATTTACTAAGTGTAGAAAATCAGGAAAAGAGGAATATTCATTATTCATTTGATTCTGAGAAACCAAAATGGAAAGTTAAGTACTGTCATTTTCCAGATTTTTATATAAATGGGGTAGAGGAAAGGATATATATTTTTTCTCTTATGAAACTTTTAACATCATAAAAAAAAAGACTTGACCTTCCAGAATGATAGAATATTTAAAATAAGTGTTTTTAATAAACTTTAGACTTACGTGCCTCAGACTTCCCATCCTGACTAGTTGTGTTTTTAATTTCCGGTTATTTAACCTCTCAGAGCCTTAAGCCCTTCTTTTATAAGAAAGAGTATAATAACCTCTGCCTTAGAACTGTCATGAGAATTAAATTAATATTTATAGAGTCTAGCACATAGTAAGTGCTATGTAAGTGTTTGATAAAGCAGCCTATTTGTATGTTGCATACATTTCTGTTTGAGAGCTGAGAAAAAGCATTATGTGATGATTAAACACATTTATCTCAAAACAAAATTCATACATTCATGTGTATTTATTAAGTTCATAATTAATGTAAACAGGCTGTTTTCTTCCTTCCTGAAAAGAAATAAAAAGGTAATATTTACCTTTATGAGTTGGAGAGAGAGTATAACCACATTCATAGACTACTAAAGGTCAGATTCTGTTCATGGCTCTTACCAGCTGTGTAACCCTGCATAACTTATTTATCCTTTCTTTGCGTCAATAAACTGTAGATAATCATAGTATCTCCTTCATAGAGTAATTGTGAGGATTAAATGAGCTAAATAGATATAAAATTCTTAGGAAATTCCTATACATAAGAAATGCTCAGTAACTATCAACTGTTGTTACAGTTTTGGAAATTTCCTTTTTATAAAATTTGATAAGCATGAAGCTTAATGTTTGAAATCATACTTTTATCAACAAACGAAACCTAGAGAAATGGAGTAATTTTATATAAGTTCACAAAGATGTTATAGACGAGCCAAGTCAACAAACTCAATAAACTCATAGTTAAAAACTTTTTTCCATTCTATCATATGCATTTTTCACCTAAGTTACTATTTTCCCCCAGGGTGATTTTTTTTTTAAGAAAATATCACTTGAGTCAATGGTATTGCTTTTTCACACTGTTTAGAAATATGCTCAGATCTGTTCTTAAATACTTTTAATTGGTTGTGCTATTTACTGCACCATCTCCTTCCATCAACTACCAAACTTCTCAAAAGAGCAGTATATAACCATTGTTCCCATTTCTTTGCTCACTTATTTCTTAATCCCTTACAAGTAGAATTCTCCTTCTATACTCTGTAATAAATAAACTGGAAATACTGTTTCATATAAATGGAAAAGAAAAAATTTAACTCTGATTCTATTCTGGTAATATTCTGTACATAATCAAGGACAAAGAATAAATAGCACTTCCAAGAAAGGCAGAACATTTGTAATCTACAATTGGCATTCTTTCTTTCTCACTTACTAGTGAAGGACTAGCTGCATATTATGTAATTCTTATTTTCCCAGGTCAAGGCAAAACTTAAGCAAAATTCTTCACAAAATACACCGGGTAAAAGCCAGGAAGATAATTCTCTGATGAAATCTGATAACCAAGAAATCACCGTTTTATCCGGTTCTTATCCTCCTCAAACCAGCAGGCATCAAGAAATCTGGTCTATCCTAGAGAATGTTTGGATTACACTGTATCAAAACAGGTACTAAATTAAGAATTTTCGAGTTTCAGGCTTTTCCATTGTTGCTGCTGCTTGCTGCTAAGTCACTTCAGTCCTGTCCGACTGTGCGACCCCATAGACGGCAGCCCACCAGGCTCCCCCATCTTTGAGATTCTCCAGGCAAGAACACTGGAGTGGGTTGCCATTTTCTTCTCCAATGAGTGAAAGTGAAAAGTGAAAGTGAACTCTCTTAGTCGTGTCCGACTCTTAGCGATCCCATGGACTGCAGCCTCCCAGGCTCCTCCATCCATGGGATTTTCTAGGCAAGAGTACTGGAGTGGGGTGCCATTGCCTTCTCCGTCCAATATTGCTAGTGTTCATTAAATAGTGGTTGGGTTGTGAATTTTTTTTTTTTTTTTTTACTACAAAGTGTCTTAGTTTTTTTAAATTTTGTTTGTTTGGTTATTCACTTTTGGTTGTGCTGGGTCTTTGTTGCTATTTGGGCTTTTCTGTAGTTGCGACGAGCAGGGCTTACTCTAGTTGCGATGAACAGGCTTCTCATTGCTTCTTTTTTTGCAGAGCACAGAATGTAGGGTGCGTGGGCTTCCCTAGTGTGGCTCTGAGGCTCTGGAGCACAGGCTCAGTAGTTGCTGTGCATGGGCTTAGTTGCTCTGTGGCATGTGGGCTTCTCCTGCATCGAGGATGGGACCTGTGTCTCCTGCATTGGGAAGTGGCTTCTTTACTACTGAGTCACCAGGGAAGCCCTGGGTTGTAACTTTAATAATATAGTTTGTACTAGATTATCTTATGAGGGCCTTTTGTCAAACTACTTTAGAGGTAGTGCTGCTTAAAAAGGGGCTCAGAATTATCTGGATAGGGTAAAAAATATATGTGGTTAGGTTCTCTTGTTAGAAATTCTAATTCAGCAGCACAGGGCTTCCTTGGTGGCTCAGCTGGTAAAGAATCCACCTGCGGTGTGTGAGACCTGGGTTCAGTCCCTGGGTTGGAAAGATTCTCCTGGAGAAGGGAACAGTTACCCACCCCAGTGTTCTGGCCTGGAGAATTCCATGGACAGAGGAGCCTGGCAGGCTATAGTCCATGGGTCACAAAGAGTCAGACACGACTAAGCAACTTTCACTTCACTTCAGGATTGAAGCTGAACTAGTGCTGCTGTCTAGGTGATTCAGAGGTGAAACTGATGAGAATCATTGCTAAATATGTTAGATCGTTTGCCAACATGTCAAAACCAATGAAGAGTCACCAGGAGTGGCTAAAGAAATTAGCAGGATCCAAAGGCTTCTGAGAAATAAGATGCAAAATAATGTAAAGAAAACATCGGTCTGGATTAGGAAAAATTCATGTAAAAATTTTTTTAAAGATAAATACTTAAGTGGATTAATACTTTTGTTACTTTCATACACTTAAAGTATTCTGGTCTTAGTAAAATGAAAAGATAGAGACCATTTGTGAGTAGGTCTTTAAATAGGTTGCTGGAGTAACTTAAAAAATAATAGAAAACAATTGATTTTAAAGTAGGTCAACACTCCCTTCCATAATTTTCCTCAAGCCCATAGTCTTTATATAACTATGTCGATCATACTGTATGCCTTGTAATATGATTTTGGTTTGAGAGCCCATTTTGTTATTTTGGATTAAGAGCCTCTCTCCATTCTAGTTGTTTACAAGAGCAGTAAAGTGATCTTAGCATTCCATTTAAACATCTGTTCTCATTCAATTATAGATTTAGGACTGATTTTTAGTCCTTGACTATAATTTAAAAATTTTTGAGACAAATTATAGTCTATTATACTAAAGAAATAACTATATCTGACGTGTGAGGTTAAAAAAAACAATATTTAAAATTTTGTTATCATATAAAGCAAAGATTTTGTTTGTCCAGTCTTAATGTATTTTTAATGTTGTGGCTTATATATTCTTGTTAGCAGAATGTTGTATATACAGAACAGAGATAATCACTTTGAAACCTAAATAGTTTAACACAATATTTCAGTTCAGTTCAATTGAGTCGTTCAGTCATGTCTGATTCTGCGACCCCATGGACTATGGTACACGAGCCTTCCCTGTCCATCACCAACTCCCAGAGCCTGCTCAGACTCATGTCTGTTGGGTCGGCGATGCCATCCAACCATCTTATCTGTGTCGTCCCCTTCTCCTCCTGCCTTCGATCTTTCCCAGCATCAGGGTCATTTCCAATGAGTTAGTTCTTTGCATCAGGTGGCCAGAATGCTGGAGTTTCAGCTTCAGCATCAGTCTTTCCAATGAATATTCAAGACTGATTTCATTTAGGATTAGCTGGTTGGATCTCCTTGTAGTCCAAGGGACTCTCAAAAGAGTCTTCTCCAACACCACAGTTCAAAAACATCAATTCTTTGGTGCTCAGCTTTTTTTATGGTCCAACTCTCACAGCCATACAAAACTATTGAAAAAACCATAGCTTTAACTAGACGGACCTTTGAGGGCAAAGTAGTGTCTCTGCTTTTTAATATGCTGTCTAGGGTGGTCATAGCCTTTCTTCCAAGGAGCAAGCGTCTTTTAATTTCATGGCTGCAGTCACCATCTGTGGTGATATTGGAGCCCCAAGAAAATAAAAATCTGTCACTATTTCCATTGTTTCCCCATCTGTTTGCCATGAAGTGATGGGACCGGATGCCATGATCTTAGTTTTCTGAATGTTGAGTTTTAAGCCAACTTTTTTACTCTCCTCTTTCACTTTCATCCAGAGGCTCTTTAGTTCTTCTTCGCTTTCTGCCATAAGGGTGGTGTCATCTGCATATCTGAGGTTATTGATATTTCTTCTGGCAATCTTGATTCCAGCTTGTGCTTCATTCAGCCCAGCCTTTCACTTGATATACTCTGCTGCTGCTAAGTCACTTCAGTCATGTCCAACTCTGTGCGACCCCATAGACGGCGGCCCACCAGGCTCTGCCATCCCTGGGATTCTCCAGGCAAGAACATTAGTAGGGTGACAGTATGCATCCTTGATGTACACCTTTCCCGATTTGGAACCAGTCTGTTGTTCCATGTCCAGTTCTAACTATTGCTTCTTGACTTGCATACAGATTTCTTAGGAGGCAGATCAGGTGGTCTGGTATTCATCTCTTTAAGAATTTTCCACAGTTTGTTGTGATCTACACAGTCAAAGGTTTTGGCGTAGCCAATAAAGCAAAAGTAGATGTTTTTCTGGAATTCTCTTGCTTTTTCAATGATCTAGTGGATGTTAGCAATTTGATCCTTTTCTAAATCCAGCTTGAACATCTGGAAGTTCTCGGTTCACATACTGTTGAAGCCTGGCTTGGGGAATTTTGAGCATTACTTTTCTTGCATGTGAGATGAGTGCAATTGTGCAGTAGTTTGAACATTCTTTGGCATTGCCTTTCTTTGGGATTGGAATGAAAACTGACCTTTTCCAGTCCCGTGGCCACTGCTGAGTTTCCCAAATTTGATGGCATATTGAGCGCACACTTTCACAGCATCGTCTTTTAGGATTTGAAATAACTCAGATGGCATTCCATCACCTCCACTAGCTTTGTTCGTCGTGATGCTTCCTAAGGCCTATTTGACTTGCGCTGCAAGATGTCTGGCTCTAGGTGAGTGATCACACCATCATGGTTGTGTGTGTCATCAAGATCTTTTCTGTACAGTTCTGTGTAGTCTTGCCACCTTGTCTTAATATCTTCTGCTTCTGTTAGGTCCATACCATTTCTGTCCTTTATTGTGACCATCTTTGCACGAAATGTTCCCTTGGTATCTCTAATTTTCTTGAAGAGATCTCTAGTCTTTTCCATTCTATTGTTTTCCTCTATCTCTCTGCATTGATCACTGAGGAAGACTTTCTTTTCTCTCTATGCTGTTCTTTGCAACTCTGTATTCAAATGGGTGTATTTTTCCTTTTCCCCTTTGCCTTTGACTAAGTGAAAGAATATTAAAGCAAAAACAATATTTAAGATATTTTAACCTTTCTTTCATTTAGAAAACATTTGACTACTTTATGTACTTTAGAACTGACCTATAATGTACATACATTTGTGTTGGATGCTACAGAGCTCTTGTTAATTTCTGGATAATATGCTTTATGTTATAGTCCTTCAGTAAGTGAAAAATGCTTATAATTACTTTATTATTGTCTAGTTTTCAAAGCTTACTTCATTGTTTCCTGTGCCTGATTGTGTACCAGAGTCACTGTAGAACTTCTCAACATATTCATGTTTGAGCCTTTCACACAGAGATGTTTATTTGAAAATCTGGTAGACCCCATGCATTATTTTTCATATAAAAGTACTCTGAGTACTTATGGTGGTGGCGTTTAGTCACTAAGTCGTGTCTGACTCTTTGCAACCCTTTGCACTATAGCCTGCCAGGCTCTTCTGTCCATGGGATTTCCCAGGCAAGAATATTGGAGTGGGTTGCCATTTCCTCCTCCAGGGGATCTTCCTGCCCCAGGGATCAAACCCTTGTCTCCTGCTTGGCAGGCAGATTCTTTACCACTAAGCCACCTGGGAAGCCCTAGGGCCCTTACGCACAACCTTAAGAGGCTGGGATTAGCAGCTGTAAGCTTTTATATAAGGAAAGGATAAACAACATGGTCCTACTATATAGTGCAGTGAACTATTACTTAGTATCTTATGATAAACCATAATGGAGAAGAACATTTAAAAAATTGTGTACATATATGTGTATAACAGGATCACTTTGCTGTACAGCAGAAATGAACACAACATTCTAAATTAACTATACTTCAATAAAAATACTGAAAAATAAAGTGACGGAAATTTATTCAGTCACAGTCTGAGGACTAGAAAGTCTGAAATCCAGATGTCTGCAGAGTTGGTTCTTTTAGGAGGTTCTGAGGGAGAATCTATTCCATGACTGTCTCCAACTTCTAGTAGCTGCCAGCAGTATTTGTAAATATATCACTCCGGTCCGGTCTGTGCCTTTGTCTTCACATAGGGAAGTGTCTACCCTAATCCAGTATGACCTCATTTTAACTTAACTTACATATGCAAAAATCCTATTTTAAATAAGGTCACATTCGGAGGTTGTGGGTGAACATGAATTTTGGGGTGGGGGAGGCAGTGTTCAACCCATACAGCATATGTTTTGAGTTTTTATATGGTTGTTTTTATGTTATATGAGTACATTTTGTTTACCTTAATTTTTCTGTTTCATAGATGGCATAAGCATCATCTTAATAGTTATTTGATATTTCATCAGGTAGCTAATTTATTACTTAACACTTTTTAAAAATATTACTTACATTGAGGTAGTTATTAATTGTGCCTGTTTCTAAAATTGGAATTATCAGAGCAAAGTGTATGAACATTTGTAACATCCAGTTTCAGCAACCTCTAAATCTGATGTGTGATTTTTTTTCTTCATCCTTGTATATGGGAGTACGGTCTGTACTTACGTACTGACTTGAATATGGATTGATAGCATGACTTCCCTTCTATCTCTTACGGTCTCACACAGTTTTTACCATATTACTTTCTCTTAGAACTATATAGTTGTTGACCCCCTATTCTTTGCATGAATGGTAGTCTGGACATTTCTTTTATTCTCATTTAAACAGATTAACATTATGAGCGATAAGTTATAAACATTATTTTATACATTAGAAGTCGAAATACTTGAATTACAGTAAATATGCCTGTGTACCTATGAGCATTTTTTCTTCTTTCTATTTTAGCATGGATGTGTTTCAAAGGTTGGATTCAAATTCAACTCTGACGTCTTCAAAAATAGCATCATTTGAAGAAGCATTTATGTATCTTCAAAAGTTAATGGCAGCTGTTAAAGATATTCTGGAAGGAATTCAGAGGTAAATACTACTTAATTTTAAGATTTCATTTATTTCTTATTTTACTCTTTCTTTTAGGGTTATCAGCTTTTTCAGAGTTGCTGGGAGTCTTCCAGCAAGTTTCATAAACTAGTAGCTTTTAGATTGAAGTCTTCTCCCTCTGTTGCAAAGAATGCCTACTTCAGTTGATCATCTGGACCACAAAAATGTATCTACTTTTTTCCTTTCTAGAAAAAAATTGGCTAGATTGTAGGCTTCATAAGGAACTTTTCTTTACTGCATAACTGTAGCTCCAAGAATAGTGCTTGACACATAATGTTCAGTTCAGTTCAGTTTCTCAGTCATGTCTGACTTTTTGCAACCCCATGGACTGTAGCTCACCAGGCTTTCTTGTCCATCACCAACTCCCGGAGCTTGCTCAAATTCATGTCCATCAAGTTGGTGATGCCATCCAACCATCTCATCCTCTGTCATCCCCTTCTCCTCCTGCCTTCGATGTTTCCCAGGATCAGGGTCTTTTCTAATGAGTCAGTTCTTCGCATCAGGTGGCCAAAGCATTGGAGTTTCAGCTCCAGCATCAGTCCTTCCAATAAATACTCAGGACTGATTTCCTTTAGGATGGACTGGTTGGACCTCCTTGCAGTTCGAGGGACTCTCAAGAGTCTTCACCAGTCCATAATGGGCGCTCAGTAATTACGTGTTGACTCTGTGTGAGTGCTCAGCCGCTCAGTTGTGTTGACTCTTTGCAACCCCTTGTACTGTAGCCACCAGGCTCCTCTGTCCGTGGAGTTTTCCAGGCAAAGAATACTGACGTGGTTTGCCATTTCCTCTTCCAGAATAAAAAGTAGTATGTGTTAAGGTAATTATCACTGCCCTTTAAAAGAAAAAACATGCTAATATTTGTTAATATGGTTGATTTCATCCAGTACAGTCTTACAGTACCTCAAACTGAGAAAGTTTGAGGAGCAACTTAGTCTTTCAGTGCTTTGAGACTTAATTCATATGTGATTACTAAATATTTATGAAGTATATAGAAAACATAGTTCTGGAAAGGTATAGAATTAACCATGCCATCTTTGTAGTGTGAAGTCAGATGTTTTCTTTCATGACATTAAAGGAGAATATTTGCAGTTATTTTTTTTAATATACCAAAATTGCTTGACCTGAATTAGACATACAGCTTGCTCTCAGCAGAATGCTGTTCTTTACCAATTAAAAAACAAAACCAAAAGCTGATCTGATTTTATGAAGTCAGAGTTTGAAAAACTTGGATTTTTAAAACAATAGCAATTTTTGATTTTGCTTATTTCTTTTTAAGAGTTTTTGGAAACATTATCTAATTAATGTGCAAAGCATTTGTACCTCTTTTTGGATCACTTGGCTAATATAATTCTTAGAATGAAAGGTTACCAAAGCTTTTTGCTACTCTTAAGTTACTAATGACTGAAGAGGGGACAGAACCCAAGCTAAATATCATCTCTAAGTGCACATAGGTTTTTTTTTTTTTAAGGCAATATTACATAAAAGTAGCTCTATGAAGAAGAAATAGTTCTGATTTTAGCTGTGTAAAAGATGTTGCACATGCTACACTGCATAAAAGCCATGCTTTACACATTACCTTTTCTATAGAAAGTAGAGATATTAATCTGAATTCAATTATTCAACAAATGTTTATTGAGCACCACCTATGCTTGGCATCATGTTAGGCTCTGGGGAATCAAAGATAAATGAGAGGCAATCTCTGACTTCAATGAGCTTGCAGAAATAGTGCTAAGAGTCACATTAAAACAGATAATTACAATAGAGAGTTACTAATGTTTTAATAGGAACACAGGCAGCGGAGGGAGGGAGGGTTTGGCAAAAGATGAGACTGGATGGGGGTTAGAGGGAAATGTCTTTTCAGCTTCATAAAGCCGTTTCCACTTTATCCTGTGGGCTGGTGTTTCACACATCCAGAGCTGTTCTGTGCCATGACAGACAAAAAGCTATGGAAGTTCTGTGTACTATATTACCCACTGCAGAAATCGCTATACATCCTTCGGTAGGTTTTATGGACTTTGCTGTAGAGAACCCTTCTTAATTTTAGAAGCTTTAAACATATTGTCCTCTGGACCCCACCCCAGAGATTTTGATGGGATTGGTCTGAGGGTGTGCCTGGCTATCACAATTTAAAAAATTTCTCCAAGTGTTTCTAATTGTGTAGGCAGGTGTTGAGGACCACTAGCTACTGTGCTTAACCACTTGTCAGAATGTAGGCACAGAACCAGCCTCATCATAGCCACCTGGAACTTGTTAAAAATGCAGATTCTTAAACCCTGCCCTGCCTACTGAATTGAAAACTCTGGGGGTAGGGCCTAGTGGTCTGTGTCCTGATTCTGTGCACACTAAAGGTTGAGCACCAATGGGCCTAAGTGGTGCTCAGCCCTAGTGGCCAATTATAATCACTTGGGAGCTTAAAAAAAGAAAAAGAAGGCCAGGTACTAACCCTAAACCTATTCCGTCTAAATTGCTGGGAGTGGGACCTGGGTGTAAGCATTTTTGTTTACTCCTGTGGTGATTCTCTTGTGGAGTCATGTTTGAGAAGGTGTAGGATGTACTGCTTTCAAAAACCGTATCTAAAGAAATAAAACTAGAATTTTAAAGCTGGTTGAGTTTTGTTACTCTTTACTCTAAGTGTACATACCTCCAGAAATAAGGAAGTATTAGTTGCTCTGCTGGTTTTCAGCATGTGACCTGGAGTAAATTGTCTTGAGCCTCAGTCTCTGTCTATAAAAGAGGCATAGTAATGCCTTCCTAGAGCTTTTCATTAAGTTACTGTGCTTCAGAAATTGGGTATTGGTATAATAAAGCCAGTGATTCTCTGCTTATTAATGCAGAGTTCTAGATCCTGTCTCAGACATACTGAAATCACTTCAGGATCTATAGATACTTTGTAGAGAAGAAAAGTTGTATTTTTAACAAACTTTCCAAGAGATTTGTATGTAGTTGGTACAGGAACACATTAAAGAAATTAATCCAACCTCCTGTAGTAAGTATATCAGAACTTTTTGAGCTACCAGTAGAGGGCATTATGAATAAAAAGTTTGCCGATTTAAGCATTCATTAATCAACAGAAGCTACTGAAATTAACTGTTCAGACAATGGACATTTGAATCAAAATGTATTAAAAGTTAATAATTATATTGTTTTATCAAGTGTTATGTGGTCTTAAAATCTTTTATTTTATTTAAAAAATTTTTTTTATTTTTTCCATTTATTTTTATTAGTTGGAGGCTAATTACTTTACAATATTGTAGTGGTTTTTAAAGTAAGTTCAGTGTAAACATTGAAAAATACACTCAAATTTGTAATCATTGCAAATTCATTAGCATTTTGGATGCTTGCTAAAATGAAATAGTTTCTTTTTTTTGAGATATATGTTCAGTGAATATATATCAGCTCTGTTTCTTTTTATTGTGCTGTGCTAAGTCACTTCAGTTGTGTCCAACTCTTTGCAACCCTATATAGACTATTGCCAGGTGTCTCTGTCCATGGGATTCTCCAGGCAGGAATACTGGACTGGGTTGCCATTTCCTACTCCAGGGGATCTTCTTGACCCAGATATTGAACCCACGTCTCTTATTAGAGCAGATCATTTATGATGTTATTTTAGGAACTGGTAATAAATAACCTGTTAATCAAGTCCTTCAGTTAAAGAAGTGAGTGAAAATGTGTTTGTTGAACTGAGTTTGTAGCTGCCTTTGCTGATGTCATCTACCCTAGCTAAGTTACTATTTCTTTTCTTAGAATAACTCATGCCTTCTTCACATGATATATGTGAAAATCTTTTTAAACTGTAACATATCTATAAGTGTTAGTCTTTATTTTCTCTTTAAAGCTGAGATGTTTAATTTGAAATGTTTAACTGTGTATTTTAATTTTGATAGAATTCTAAGCATCATTATGATGAGTTAAGATTGAAAATATTGGTGTTAGCAGTTGTCCACACAGTTATATAGTTGAGTGCAGAATACCTAATTTGGTAAAAGTTGAAGGAATGGGGTATTGTTGATTTCTGCACTTTCTGCACACTTCTTTCTTGGATAGGAGAGTGAACTTAAACTTATTTGGTTTAGAAATTGCTTTTTTCTTATCTTTCCTTTTATTTGTATATAGGGTTAATTTGAAGACTTTAGTTAATATTTTCTTATATAAACACTAGTGAACCAGTCAATATTCTTTCCATGTAGACAAAAGTTTTGTAAGATTTATTTTTTAGGTCAGTACTATGTAGTCTCATTTTATACTTTAGTGAATTTATGTCTAGATTGGTCAAGTCATTCTCAAGATAACAAAAACCTTTTGCTTAGGATATGAAAATTATAAAGCTTCACTTGGAGTGAAAATTAGAGAGTCATATGACAAATACTAGAACTAAGAAAACTTCTACTTATACATTAATCAAAAAACATTACATGTCCTGTGCTTAAATTTACAGCTCTACAAAGTTAACTAAACCAGTCATGTAATGCAAATCTGAGGCATACTATAAATGTGTGCAGCTTCAACCTGAAAGATAATACTCAAAATAACAATGAACATGTGTTTTTGTGTCTATGAACTAGGTGGTGATCTGCCTAGTTTAGAAGCTGAGGAGAGGACAGGGGGAGAGTGAGGCTAGGAAATCTGCCTGGATTTTTAATCATATAATCCACCTTATTTATAAAATACGGTTGAAATTATTAAAAAGAAAAAAAAACCCAACTGTAGCATTTGAATTCAAAACTATAACTAGATCATGCTCAAGTGTGTATATTCATTTATCACTTGGTTTAATATGTAAAATTCTGTATTTCTGTGTCAATTTCATGAACTCTGGATTTCTCACTCATGTATCCATGGATGAAGTGGTTGAAATAATGAATGTTTTCTCAGTCTCATATTTGGAATCTTATGGGAGAGAGTTATAAATAACTTGGCACTTTCTGCAGAGGAAGGAATTTTTTTCTGTGACGGGGTATCCAAAGTTTAATTAATTTTTA